CCCACCCCCCGGCCCGCCTCCGGGAGCAGGCTCCGGGGGGCGCGAAGGCTTTGGCGACCTCTTCGCCCGGACTGCGCGCCCAGCTCGGCCAGCGCCCCAGCCACCTCCGCACCCGGAGCCGGTCAACACGCCTTACAGTGAACTGAACGGAAAGCATCACTAATTTCAAATGGGTTCTTACAGTATTAGTTATTACAATTTTAAAAACTGGCGCGAAAAAATTGTTGTCGTCTTTTTAGATACCAGAAAACAGGGTGCTACAACGACTCTTTCCATTCCCATTCCTTTACACAACCTTATGCCTGTTTTTTCGTGCAGGGACGTGCAGAATTTTAAACAGCCAGAGAAGTATTAACTTTTCATGCATACCTGTGCGCAGATTGTACACAACTGTGCGCGAATTATTGTACTTTATTTATGCATGCGATTAGGCATATAATCTTACGGATATTTATGCACAACAAAATGCATACGCGTTTTGTTTAGTGTGTACACCTCTCTGAGTAACACGGCAGTTCCATGTGCTGGAGATGAATTTGTTACTCGTGTACCCGGAAAATAACTCCATGTAATATTACACAAAAAAACTCGTCGTTGTACGATCGTTTGCATAACAGCAGTTACACAAATTATTTAACGAGACAAAGTCTTAATAACGGTGGTCCGATGTGCGATATTTTCATGCGAATGATTATGGAAGGGGGGGGGGGGGCTCCCACTTCCCATGACACCTTTTATGCCATCAAAATGCGATTTTGAGCCCCTAAAATAAATCTGTGTTTGCACAGTCTCAAATGGACCGCAAGATTCACATGAAATTTTCACACGAAGGATGAATGACGAATTTGAATGATAAAACTATGAAAAACGATGTCCTCTGACAGAACAAAGGTGCTTAGTCCTATCTTTGGGCAATAAAGGTTCAATGCCTTTACAATCGCACTAAAACTTCCAAAGACAGACAAAGACACAAAGTTTCAGCCCCTTATTAGGACTCTTTTGGTGCCTTCCTAGAGGCACTAAACTGGAAATTTCATTAGCACCCCTTGAAAGGCACAACTCAGCACCTTTGTTTTTCCAGTATTTCGACAATATGTTATTATTCATTGTGAACTATTTACTTGGCTTCCTACGACGAGTGAGAATTAGCTGTAGCAAATTAACGACTGAGTTCGAAAATCTGAACGCACTGTTGAGAAATTGTAAATTATAAGAAAAGGAAAAGGTGCCGTTTACGGGTATAATTACAATACCAATTATACAGGGCTAGCTGTATTGAAATGCGAACTGAATCGTCTGCTAGTGCATCGCAACGGGACTACAGACGCCGAACCCAAAACTGTGGCCGTTTGCTAGCTAAAATTTTGTTACTGACTGTTGAGTTGTTGCATTAGACTCTTCCGTTTTTTCATTATTATTTTTGTGCATTTTTTCGGCACCTTCTTCACCTTTCACGAATGCCGTTTTTTCGCAATTCTGCAGAAGAGGACAAATTTTGTCTATCTGAAAAAGCCTAAATGGCAGAATTTTGCCATTTTTGAACAGGCTACGGGGGTTAAACAATGTGAGTTGGGTTAAAAGATGGTGTGTCCCACATTAAGAAACGTTCCCCATCGAAACGCTGATTGCCAAACTCAGCCTCATTGGAAGAGCCGGCCCGCCAAAACCCTGCCTTCGGGCGTTCCGGGCGGGCCACCGGCACCACAGAGCTGTCTGGCGGGCTGGCCTATTCAGTGTGAGGCAGGCGCCATCGCTCACTGCGAAAAATATCCTTGTAAATTTACAGAATTTGTGGTACTTTTCAGTTTTTTTAATGCGTTGGTAATTTACGACAAGGCCGTTCTTACTTGTCCTTCAATTCCAAGTCGATACGAAGTGCTCGTAAATTTACAATTCTAAATAGTAATTTTACGACACACATCGAGGAATTTTTTTCCCTGAAACCTACGACTATTTTTCACAGTGTTTACGCAGGGTCACCGCACTGCAAGAAAAACCTACAGACACTCGCTGAACAATTCAGCGTTATACTTTGAAATGAAATTATCATATATTTTTATTCCAGTGCTTTCACCCCACAACATAAAATGAAAATTTCACAATCCTCTACTGGTTAATAATTGACAGCACCAGACTGTTGTTATGTTATAGGTTTTTCTTACAATGCCGGCGAAGCATTCTCACTGCTAAATGATTGCAAAGAATAGGTTCATTGCAAATGACTTTCTCTGCAGCTTGCAAAGAACTATTTTGAAGCATTGTAATGTAATACTAACTGGTTCGTCGCAAGCTTGCAAACTATTTCTTTGGAATCAAAACACATTGTTTGGAAGGATTCTGGCGGCTTGCAAAGAATTTCTTTGGAATACGAACTGATTTTTTAGTGTACTGTGAATGTAGAGTTTTACTGTACTGCGGTGCTGGTCCAGTAGGTGAAAGATGAGACAGACGGGCGACCTACCGTTCCCCCCAGCCCGCGCCCGCCACCGTCGCTCTGCCTGCAACAAAAGGAAAAAACAATTGGCGTTATTTGAAGTTGTAACGGGAGAAATGGCTTTTGTTATCGGTAAAATGGAGGGGGGGTGGCAATCCAATAAACCGATCAGGAAAACCCTACAATTTAACGACATAGATCGAAAACGTTAATCAAAATCAAAGTCTGTTAATTTTTTATGGTAAAATGTACGGTGATCGACAAGATATAACAGTTTGAAACTGTAATTTTTAAATACGCCGTCGACTTTTACAATTATGTCTGTAGGTTGTTTTCGGAGTGTGGGAATTAAGACAGACGCTGACTGAAAACTGAAAGCAAAATTAGGTCGTTCGAAGCTCTTTTTGTTACTGCGTTAGAAATGAGTTAGATTAGGTACATAGCATCTAACTCAACAATTTTATTTCCGGTTAAAAATCCTCTGCTTTGACAAAACTTCCGTCTTTGAACAAATAAGTGTAAGATCACCAAAAGATAACTAAAACATTAGACATTGGTAACTATATTTCTGCGGGGAGGTTCCTCCCCTCACGATCGTCCTCCCAGCATGCGCATAAACTCATTTGTGACAGTGGACGCTTCTGCAGGGGGTTGGGGGGGGGGGGCTCTCCAACATCCTTAGTAAACAAACAGCCCTGCATTTCTCAGGGCAAAAGGCGCCTGGACTCCCTGCATGGTAAACTCCGAGCAAGGTTTGATATAGGGATCCACAGCTCATGCATACGCATGAGCCCCCCATAACCTCGCAGCAGCCTCGCCGAGTGGACGAGAGAGAGAGAGGGCGGGGGGGATCAGAGAGGAAGGGGCGAGGGGAGAGAAACAGAGAGAGGGAGAGACAGGGAGAGAGAGGGAGAGGGAGAAGGAGAGAGAGACCACTCCTCATTGACTCCATGATGCACTGCAGCCATCCATCCTGGCTTCGGCGAGCGAGCGAAAGAAAGAGAGAGAGAGAGAGAGGGCGGGGG